CAGTCGGAGAAAGGAAGGAACTGCTGAAAGCATTCTCATTTTATCTTACGGGTTGCAAGCAGCAATATAGAGGCGAGTTTAGTGGCCATTTTAATTTGGAAGCTGAGTCGGATCATGTTGTGGTCGCTACCAGGGAGATTGTTCAGAAAGCCAGCGTGTTTGTACATTTCTCTCCTTGAAGTTTTTCCACCAGTTTTCGATACATTAACCATGTGACTGCCAGAGTTGTGAAGCCAAAGATGACTGGAACCTCGGCATGGTTGTATGAATCACCAGGCAAGGTGATGAGCATGTACGGGTTAAGCATTTTAATGGCTTTCAAAAACTGCCAGTCAGCCTCTGATGTCAGCCATTCCTGAGCTTTTATGGCAGCTTGGGTTAAGCAGAGTTGTATGTCAGTTTGGATTTTGCTGGGCTCAACTAAGGTAAGTCCCCCTGCCTGCAAATGTTGCAGTCGGTTTTGCTCAGCGGCAGTTTCAAGTGACAGGGATAGGTCGGAGTGTTGTTTGTAAATCTTATGGGTTACCGGAGATTGTGATACGGCAGTTTTCAGGTGACAGGTGACGTTCTTCCCAACAACCGCAATGCAATGTGGTTGCCATCTCAAAACTTTCTGTGTTGTTTTGTTGGTTAGAATATCCACAAGTTCACAAACACCAGCTGAGTCTCCAAACTCATGTTGTACAGCTTGCAACATGGCTGGGTTTAATGGAATATTGCAGTTGTGTGAGACAACTTCCATCCAGGAGTTCCATCGGGTGATGACCGATGCAGGTGGGCCGGTTGGGTTTTCCATGCCATCCTGAGCTAGATACTACATGTACACGCGCACCTTACTTCTGCAAAAACGAAATACGCCTTGCATTTTTGCAACGAATTCGTTGACCTCCGGCGAGAACTCGTGAATTTTCTCTTTAATCAAGTTGATGTAACGTGCAACACATCTAATGTGAACTGTATCGTCACAAACAGGTTTAATGCCATCTCGGTAGCATGCTGTCATATATCTAGCGCCATGTGAAACGAACGCCATTACATGGGTAGACTATATGCCCATCATTGTCAAGGTATGCAGATTAGCCCCTTCAAGTGTGGTAGAACTGATTCTCCATATTGAACGTATAAGTAAGGTATGCTCGCAGGATGTCGTTGTTGGAAAACAATGGTACACATAACAGGATACGTAGTACCATCTTCCCGCGGTAATCACTTGTTTTGTCCGTTGTTACGCTGACAACAATACAACGGGACATCACTTTCACTATATGTTTTTTGTTCCCGTAAAGCTGGGGAATTATTAGACGTAGCGCGATTGATCCGGTTTAAATTCCACCATTGCGTACATGACTGTGAAAAAGTTTCCTCAAATAGCGGTTCTTGGCATGTTCCAGAGGAATATTCGCAGATACCATAGCAAGTAGAAAGTCAGATACCACTGTGTCGCTGGTTTCCTAAACAGCATTCGCAACGGCGATGGAGCTGAAGATGATTGATTGACAAGGTTTTTCGGAACTGATTCCCACTTGGCAACAAGATTGGCTGCTTGCTCCTCCTTGTAAGCTTTCTTCTGATGATGGTTAGAGCCGCGAAAATTTCAACCACGGTTGAGTTTCGTGATGGATCTACAGTCAGTTCACACGACGTAGTATTCTACAGGAAACGCCTTCAGTCTGTCCAGGGCACTTTTATCTCCCACTTGCTCTTTCCTTTTCTGAAATGACATCGGCAAAAGTTAAAACCGGTTGATTATTGTACGCGACAGATTCGCTTGGTTCTCGTGTGACGCGTAGAAATACCGAGTCAAACGAAAGCAAAGCCGACACGGAACAACGGTATTAGTCAAAAAATACAAATTTATTAATGACAAACCTAAGTGCTGAAACAACAGTATATTCACGAACTACTCAAAGAGGTACCAAGCCTACAGACAGATGACGACGAATTCAGTCGGTCGCTTATATTGTGCTTCCGAGTCCTATGCAGCGATTTAGCCGTTGTTCAACACTGAAGAGACAACAGTGCATCAAGTTTGCGAGCGACCGTAATGAGGACGGTGCGTGCCAGTCAGGTAGGCGCAAAAGTTGTTGACGAACGGATGTCAAACAGATTTATCATAGATGTGGACAAAGGGTGTTTGTGTGATGGACAACAGAATGAGTGCACAGCTGGAGCAGACAGATGGGACATGGTTGCGCAATGGATAGATGCATGGGTGACACTTGAGCCTCGAAATAAGCGGAATTGGATAGCAGGTGGTGGACAGATAGCGGTGCTGATATTCCAGGAGAATGTTCCAAAAGCAGATGGTTGCCTTGGAATTTCTTCTTAATACACTCATACTGATTACAACAAAAAGCGAATTCAAATTAGCTTCTTTTTTGAATTTCAATTTTTCCGCGATTCCGCAAAAGTTTTCCCTTTCTGTGACAGTTAGTAAATTCCGCGCTTTTTCTGCTTTGCGTGGAATCGTAGAAAATCGTGCTCTTTAATTATTGCTTCTCACGAATTCTTTAGGCTTTTAATGCTAGCTTGCATGCACAATCGCACATAACTTGTTTCATTTTGGCTGACTGCCCTGTGGTAGTAGCTGACAGGTTAAGCGAGTGAAACGGGCGCGTGACTAGTGGACAGAAGGCAGTCATCGCCGTCAGAGTAAGTTGTCCACAAGTACACTAGTCGGACAAACAGTGAACAATTGTTTTTCAGCCTTGTTAGTTAAGCACAGATTTGGTGCTGGACAAATAAAGGCACCTTGCTTGCACCACACTAACCCTGAGCGGACAAAGGACAATGTGATGGCGGCTGGTGACCGAGCGGGTAAAACAAACAGAGACAGCGGTTGCAAGCCAGTCAAATCCGCCGACCCAATCTGACCATGTTTGCGCGCACCGAATAAGCTGCTCAGAATTGGCTTGGAATTTTTGAGTAAAAGGCAACTTTGTTCCAGTCGACATAGGAGTATTTCGAAGATCAGTGAATAACTGACGTGCGCGAGTCAATGAACTTAAGCAGATGGCTAGCGAGAACCAGCCAGAGAAGTCGCTACAGGGAAATTGTCATTCAAATTTGTTCACAGCATGAAATGAACCTGTGTTCCTTGATGACAGATCCTTGGCTGTTCAGTAGAAGTGCCGCGCGGTTTATATCTGGACAAGTTTCTTTGCGTATTATCATGTGCGTGCTACAAAGTACGTGCAAATTTATGGCGCTATGAAGGGTGAACACAGCTGAGATAGCAAATGCATCACTATGCATACACACACAAACACATGAATCCATATAGTTTGTCAACACAGTTTCTGTCTGCTGCTTACTGCCAGCTTAGAGCCAGTATGACGAACGCATCTTATGGTACACAGGAACTGCGGAAAAGCTGAAACAAACGTTTATCAACTGTTGCCCGCCACAAATCACTTCACTCAATAATCGGATATGTACTCAATTGCACTCATCAGGCAAGACGTAGCATTCATCGATCCCAGTGATCGAATTGGCATTTACTTCAGTGGGAAGTGTGCTCCATATTGAGATTGCGTGTTGCCATCAAGTCACAAAACAATTACTTCAGAATGCTCCTCCAACGGGGTCAAGCTGTATGACCGCTACCGCTTCAGCATATCACAGATTATAATTGTTATATAATGTACTGTTCACACGAAACAGAACTCGGGTCTACACAATGTCTGGCAGCAGATGGCGGGCGATCGATGACGCAGGCGCTGTGAATGGCTGACTGCTAGCGTTTCACGGCTGTGTACCTGGAGTGGTGGACGAGGATATGTAAGCCACTTGATTCCTGACACATGCTTGAAATGCCCCGTAATTCTCACCTGCAACTGGCGCTCTGTCGAGATTCTCGGACAGCTGTTCCGTCTTCGTTTTGATTCTTGCATGGCAATCTTGACAGGCCCTAAAAGTTTTATTTTCACGAACCGCCGTCATCATGGTTCAGCGATATGTATCTTACAGAAAAAATTTAGAAAGAGGTGTACTGATGCAAAAGCACATTTCAGAAACCAAACGGAGCTTTTACCAAACTGTTATTTTTACATCACTGAATTAACCCAAATCATCAGCACTTCTGCAGGAGTGAGCATGTTGAACATGATGATATGTCCAATTTCCGGCACAGTTGCAAGGCATCACGATCAAATAAACAATTTCTATTGTGGTTACCAAAAGAATCATGATAGCTTTATATTACTAGTGCATCCATATATATACATACATATATATATATATATATGGTGGGCGGCATCCGGTTTCGGATTTGCCTGTCACTGTGGCAAGCCACAGGACGCCTGCGCCTACAGAGGGACCATGGATGGCTAGCGCTTCAACACCCACAGCTCCAATCACACACCCCATATCCAGTGTAAACCCGAAGGAATAAGACCGGGAGGCATGTGGATGGGAGCCACGTTTCATCAACGGAGCCGGCCCACACTCCTTCACAGGCAAACACAAGCACGCTGTAATTGGGGAATCAAACGCACACACAAAGCGGTGGCTGGACGGTAGTCCGCTCCACACTGAGTGCATGGAACCGCTCTTTGAGCCTAGCACGGCCACAAGGACCGTGCACCCCGTCCCCTCCAGCAACGACCAACTGTCTCCTGGAGCCAGTATGGACGAGGTAGTGGGTAATAGACAGGTAGGCACCTTGTTAACATGCACATCAAGCGCAGCCACACCGGGGATATCAAGCAACAGCCATTCACTTTAAACAACAAGCTGAAATAAAATAAATCCAATAATGCATACAGATACGGTGGCATAACTCTTCGCTAAATTACCATATGAAGTAAGTTGGATAGCAACAAATCCGCGATAAGTAAGAAATGTCCACAAGTTACTTAAAATGCTACAAACGCAACAAAATTACCGAAGACAAGCGCAATTAGCGTAAGCAACGTGGCCAGTTAATAGAACATTATTCAGGTAGGCAGAACAGACCAAATAAAGTGGAATGAAATTTATCTAGCTTATAAATACCTAGTTTAAGTGTAAGTTGGTTTAGCTCCACTGCGGTGAAGAAGCATCATGAATGCGACATCAGCCTCAGCATGGGGCTGATGTTGAATGCGGGCAATGAAATCATTTACAAATTCTCCGCCTCGTTGCTGTAGCTTGAAAAACTGATAACGAGCGGCAAACACACTTTGTTGGATACCCCACAATTCCTCAACCAACTGGACCACGTGCACAATACTGGTCTTAGCCATCAAGTTCATAGCGTCAAAATGACGTTGTCCTTCTGATCCAAGGGCTTGGCGGAATAATATAATCCAATGGGTATCGGATAACACAAAAGAGGGGTTTAACACAGGAAAGAGAGTCATTCGATGTTGGAAAGATGTTTTCCACTGTATCCACGACTGTAGAGAGGGTTTTTCTGCACCACCAGGCCACAGACATGACAGTCCCGCAAGAAGGCTCGTAGCAACCGTCGCCATTCCGATACGTATTACTCGAGTAATGCTGGATCGCACCTGGACCCTTAGTTCGCGCAAGAAGTGAATAAGAGCACACACCGGATGGGAAGTGTCAAAAACTGTGATAGATAGCTTGTAGGTTACACCAGATGAATAAGTCGAAAAGGAAGCAATCAGCACAAGGAAAAAGAGTGGACGAATCAGCTATCGGTCAATCGATCTGCATATGTCTGTTTTTTCTCATCGGCTCAGCGGTTTAGCGGACGACACACACGTAACTTCCCAATAAATAAATAAATGTTTGAGTACTTCATCGAACTGAGGCTTTTAATTCTTACTTTAGCTTATATGTCACCCAGAGAATCTTAAATTCTCAGTGCTTTGTTTTTATTCATTATGCTAAATAGTGCAGACTACGAAATCTGTCCTCACTGAGCCCCCTTATTATAGCATGCCCACAGTGATAGCTAGCGAGTTTGAATATTTCCTCAATTAATATTCCCTGACAGCTAGGAATTTTATCAGCAACCTAGATGGTTTTAACACATTTACAACACGCCATCAATGCATTTCAATAAAAAGACCATTTACCTAGTAGGTAACTAACAAGCGCAGTGGATTCGGTCTTGGATAACATAAATGATATCAGCATAGTAGTATGCACCTTAGAGAGGCTTTGTTCCGACAAACAGGTTTGCATTGGAAATGTATCAACACCAACAAAACCACGAAGCGACCAGCAGTGGTATCAGCAGCACGTGGTCGGTACATTGAAGACCCCCTCAGTAAGCGTCAGCGCTTTCAACACCATAGGCTTAAACTTTGATGATACTCGAGTCTGCGAATTCCTTTGTGATTTGAAGTGGGTTGGCATTGACCAATCGTGGGAGACATCCCGGACAAGCGTTGCATAACACCGGGGGAAATGAAGTATGCGGACTGATACAGACAGATTGATCGCTCGGAATTGGTAGACCGCTTGACGCAACATGCATTCAGATACTTATCCATCACGAATGAAAATTAGCAAATCGCTCATGAGTTCTGAGATTCTAAAGGAAGGACAAAAGATGTTTTATCTGTTAACATTCAACAGGCATCCAGCTACCTTAGTATTTTAGCGGGAACTAGACAAAGTCAAGAAAATATCTTTGTCAGATCTCTCCTTGTAACCTCAAAACCAAAGCGTTTCGTGATTCATTCCGCATATATGGGTTCACTGGGCTGAGTTTTATTCTCTGTGCTTCGAAGGTTAGATTTGGAAGTGTAGAGAACAAATTGAACTGACAACTGACGCGCAGTAATAACAGCTTTTGGCTTCTCGGCGGCACCAAATCCGAACGCTCCGGACCGCGAAAAATTGAAAAGTTTGCAATTGCGATTGCATTTATCTTGGCTCTGACAATCTCTGCGGCAAAGACATTAACCACATTTTACCTGCGTTATCAAGCACTTTGGAAGGCTCTGACTACCGGCGGGAGACAAAGCCTAAGGCATTACACTGTTATGTTATTTGCTTCGTGGAAAGCTATATCGAGCTTGTACGTCATGCCTGAACTGTTGCAAATACTTCCATCCCACATGTGTTTGCCTAACTCTAATCCAAATAGAGAAAAGCATCAGTTTGATCGATTCCGTTTGGTTCTGTACGAAGTGCGAGTCTATTTCACTCGTCAGATGCAAAGCTGTATTATCACAGAAGCAACTCATATCGGAAGCCATTGTGGAATCAGCAAGTACCGTAAGAATTGCTCCACTTGACCAATTGGTACACCGGCTTAACACCAGGAAGGAGGTAAGAGCAGTGATACAGTTTTAGACACCGCAACCCCAGTGACCCTCACTCAATGATACGTTCGAGTTGTTGGTTCCTCAAATCCAATTGGCACAACCCATGCTGCTGAAGGGACAAAAATGAACATGTCCGTCGTTGCCACCCTCTTGCGGTGGGCCATGTCCAACGTAAAATCTACCGTAACCAGACTATTAGCAAGTAAGGCTGATAACGCTGCCTCGCGACCTAAGATAGTTTCTGTCGTTCCTTAAATAAAGCATCCACACACTCCACCAGATGGAGAACACCAGAGGACATCATTACTTTCTAAATTTTAAGTGACTTTTCATGCAGGGACCTGAGACAAACTGAAGAAAGACACACATTTAGATGACCGCAAGCAGTAGAACTTCATGTTCAGATTAAATCAGCGAGTATTAAACTTTCATCCAATATCCGAACCCGACAAATTACGGCGAACCACCGCTAACCCAAGCAACGATTTAGTCAGGAGAGGTCGCAGAAGCAGTCCTCTTGTCAACTACTCCGCTATGAGTCTCCTCATGCAAGGTTCGCTTTTTCGATGTTTCTTTGAAGCGAACATAAGAAACACAAGCAAAACCCAACGACTACAGCAGGCAACTTGACGTTTAATTTCTCCTTACCCAAGGTGTTCCTGAGCTTTGGACTTCAAGCGAACTAGAGGTTAAAGCACTTGACAGGGTTACATAACACTACATTCGTGAAGTGGTTTCTCTAGAAACGTGATCAGTTATTCGACCACAAGGTTGTTATTATTACCCAACCACAAAGTGTGTGGTACAGGAGCAATCTAAGTTACACTGCAATGCTAACCCATGGTAGAGGATGCGTTCGAAATATCTATAAATTACGCGAAAAGTTGTCGTCCGAAATATGCGACCTTTGCATTAATATTAGCTTGCAGGAGAATCATGGATTCGCATGAACAACTGCGTAATTAGTGCAATTGTTGGATGGAATGCGACATGGAGGAAACTTGATATGCATAGGACAGATTCCCTCCGATAAAACGGGTTGGCGGCACAAAATAAAGTTGACGCCTGCAGTGACCAATTACTCTTTTCATTTTGCCAATCTACTTGTTTATATAAGCATAGAGAAAACTACGCGTGTGCTTGCGGAGAAGCGACAGAAACTTTAATGGACATTCACTACTGGGTTACTAATAGTTCCATCACGGATAAGTGTGGCCCATTGGGTACGCTTAAACAGGTAACCGAGATTATGGAGTAAGATTTACACTCCTAATGCTCGAGTTACTTATTGTTACGCAGTCCAGAACACTGGTGTTTCCAAAAGATACAAGCCATTGAATATATCGCGTGGACACATCTTCATGAGACTATTGCTGAAAAGTGATGTGTGACAAAATATACCAAGAGGGAGCCGTGTAGCCATCCAGATACCAGGTTTACAGAGATCACTAGTGCTTAGGCAGAATCTACTCAAAGCTTTTCACCAAATTTCGGTCATTTCGTCTTTGCGATATTCTTTTGTGGTATCAAGAACTGATAGTCGACACTATATGTAGAAATGGTTTTATGAAGTACACATGTAACACACGAAGTCAGTGGATCTGTGTACCTGCAAAAGAACAGCTGACAGTCCCTAACGGGGGAACGTATTGTTTCTCCAGTGCTCATCATCGCTTGTGGACTTTATTCCATAATTTATCTTGAACTCATATTGCAATAATATAGCAGTTTTAGCAACAGAGTTCGTTGATTTGATTGGAAATTATCCTGGCACATTGTAAACCTCTTATCTGACGTCAGTCATCCAATTTGTGTGCCAATCGGGGCTCACAGGCAATTCATTTTTATTAGTAAACTTCCCATATGTCTTTAGAACAAGTTGTGAACGGAGGGTCCTTAGTAGTTTTAGCAGTGACTAACTATTAACGTTTTTCATCTGAGAGGAGTTATATGTCTTAGAGCTATTTCTTTATAAATAGCCATACAATATGGTTTAAGTACCCTCCACTCAGTGTTTAGCGGCCATTGTCTTCAGACTTCAAATTCAAGCTCAGGTGGGACTGAAACCATAGGAGAATCTCATAAGTGCACCTTAAAGGCTGCTGCTTGCAGTAATGGGAACGGTGATATCTCTGAAGTAAGATTAAATCACAGCTTTTTTGAGTACGTGGTGAGTGGTTTGTCTTGATCAACTGTACCACCTGGCCACATCAGTGATGAAGAACAGTGAGGAGAAGGCTGGACAGGTCTTCTGCTGTGTAGAGCACTTCGCTTTATTAGTAATAATTGCAACATCCATTCTTTTCTAAGAATGCGTTATTGAGCAATAATTTACATCCTGCCGCATCATCATCATCATTATACATGTCAGCTAGAGGTGGTGAAACTCCTCCGCTATTGTACCGAAATACAAAGGAAATACACACATACAATACCTAAAGGAAAAATAAATACGACAGTTGCATGCCAGCTGAGCTACCAGCAACGGATAGGCATCGTTCCGGTAAGCTACCAGCCAGCTACTAGGCAAAAATATTTATTATGTTTTACCCTACGAAATGAGATCGTAGATGGAGGGGGAGGCTAAAAGGGATGGGGAGGGACAAAGAAACTCACAGCAGGAACGCCACTGAGGTCGGCTCCTTGCCATGTCAGCAAGTGTATCCAACCAAACGTGTTCACCGTCTTTTGGACCCCAACCAGGGAGCCGTGAAGCTCCAACCGAGGCTAGCTCCGAAGTGAGGGACTTCATTCCTCTCGACCAAGTCATCGCTTGGCCACCTCTCCTCTTCTTCCACCCACATCCCCGCTGAGCAAACAATGCACGTCGAGGGAGTCTGTGGACTGGCATGCGCAACACGTGGCCCAGCCATCGGAGACTGGTGCGAGAAATAACGGTGCTGAGCGGTTCATTCCCTTTTTCTGGGCCGCAAACAAGGCGTCGAACACGCTCGTTACTCACGCGGTGTTCCCACCAGATGTGAGCCAAACTGCGAAGGCACCGATGGTAGAACGTAACTAGCCTCTTTATGTCCGCCGATCTTAGGGGCCAGGTTTCGCAACCGTACATGCCGCATGCCACTATGCGATCCCAGTTGTATCGTTAAAATGATTTT